AGTTCCAAGCTCAGAATCAAGGTCACAAGATAAGGAAAGATAGTAAAGTGTTAACGGGCCGCAGAGAGCGGCAGCAGAGGAGTTTCCCCTTCTCCCAGGGGCTCCCCCGAAAGGAACCAAACTCCCCGACCCCATCGCGGGAACCCGGAGGCGGAATACGAGCCGACCCCCCTCCCACCCATCGCTTCTTGAGATCTCTCAACAGGCAATGGGGCCCTGATGCTTTGCATGGCGGGGAGTTCTTGCAAAAAATAAAAAAGGGGTCTGTTCCTCCACCTCGTCTTGCTTCCTCCCCCGGCATGACTCAGCGCGCGGAGCTGCTGCGTGGCGCAGCGAACCTCCGCGGCGCAGGCTGGAGAACCCAGGCTGAGGGCGAGCGTGGGGGCCGAGGAGGGAGAGGCGAGGGGCAGCGGCGAGGAAGGCTCCGCATGCCCGCTCTGCCCGCAGCGGCCCAAGACCCTCCTCCAGGGCCCCTGCCCCGCGCACGTGTTCGGTGGCGCTCACCTGGCACGGGAGTGGGTGGCTCTGCCGAGGACGGCGGTGGGTAGGCGAAAGGACTGAGGAGCGAACGCGGCTAGGGTCACCAGAACCCCGTTCTGCGGCGCGTTCCAAGAGAACGCAGCCTATTCAGCTGGCCTGGGGGGGACGGGAGGCGGAGTCCCGGGCATTTAAAGGCGCCGCTCCGCCCCCTGCAGGGTTTTTTCCTCGCTGGCACGCGAGGCGTCCAATGACGGGCGGGCACTGTGCGCGGCGGCACCGCCCCAAGATACTGGGATAGGAGGCGGCGCCGGGGAGGAGATGAGCGCCCGGAGCTCGAGCCCTCCTCCGCCCGGGGAGGACGTGACTCGAGCCACATCCCTCCGGTCGCCGGGGCTCTCCCTCCCCCCCACCCCCCAGCTCCCGCCTGGCGCGCGCGCGACCATCGTGACTCAGCCGGAATGCGGGCTGGTGGAGGGGTAGGGAGGTGGGGGTGTCAGAGTAAGATGGTGGCTCGCTTCCCCTCCCGGACCCCTGGCTTCCGCCCTGCGCAGTTGCAGCCTGACGTCACCGCAGGCCAGCGCGAGGTTCCGCGCCGGCCTGCCCCCGCTCCAGCGCTGGGCTGAGACTCGGTGCCTCCCCGGGCCGAGCAGGCGCGGAGAGCCGGAGAGGGCGGCGCACTGCCAGGGTACGCAGGCAAAGCCTGCCCCGACCCGCTCGCCGGCCACATCCGTACGACAGTGGCTTCGCCTGGTCCGGCCTGGAGTAGCAGATTGGCGGGAGTCGCCACAGGCTAGCTAAACACACCATGTTTGAGGAAATGATTGACAGCTTTTGGCCCAAGCCAGACTGGTCTAACCCGAACCTAATCTCTTTCTCCAAAATAAGACTCCGTCTCCGAGCTCTCTGCCACCCACGTACGCTCAGGGGCCCCGGTTTCCTCCAGACCCCATTCCGCAAGCCCCATTGCCGTCCTAAGATCCGGCCAGCGGCCCACCTGTGACGCTGTGGAAAAAGCCCGCAGAGCTTGGTCAGCGGCGATGATGAGCCGGGAGCTGCGACGGGCTGGGTTATAAGGCAACTCCTGGCCTCCACCCCTCCCCTCCACACCCCCGAAACGGTGTCCCGGACCTTTTCGGTAACCCCTGCCCTTTCCCCAGCACGAATCCCGCGACAGGGACCTATATTTAGGGAAACCTGAGGCTCCTGACATTCATGCCAGCGTGGGGCCCCTGCGTGGGGGAAGAAAGAGGGAGCTTTGGTTTGCCTGGAGAGGAGGAGGTGCCACTTCCCACTCACCGGTCTTTAGAAGAACCTCTTCCTTGGAAGTACAGTGAACTTGGTGGTCGAGAAATCAGCCTCGGGTCCTGGATCTCTAAGGCGGAGCAAGAAGTGAAGATCGGTGGTTTGTATCTAGACGTTGCCGCCCACTGACTCTGGTGTACCCCTCCTCCCTTGACTCTGGGTCTGTCTGCTGGTGGCTGCACTTTTTTTTTTTTTTTTTTTTTTTTTAATAAGGAGAGCAGATGCAAGCAAGATACTCACCTCTTAAAGTAAACAGAAGTCTATAGGCAGGGTGCGGCTGACTGTGCCTTTATCCTGATATTCCAGGTTGGCAGTGCCTTCCCACACTGTTGCCTGGGTGAGCAATGCCAGCATCCTCACCTTCACATACAACAGTTTATCAAGGGAGGGGGAGGGGACTGACCAGGTGCAGGGGCACTGGCCAGAACACCAGCCCCTTTTCAGATGTCCAAGGGCTCTCAGAACCCTGCCCTGTAGGGAACCGGGCCCTTCACTTAAGGGTCTCAGGTAGTTAGGCTGGGCCTGCCATCTGTAATTACAGTAGCCTAGTAGTGGTGTCCTGAGGGCCATTACAGGGGGGACCCTGAGGGCTGGCCACTCCCCAAAGAAGAAGGCCCCCAACCCCATCTTTCATCTGAGCTTGATCTCGAAACACAGGCAGTTGAGGCTCTGGCAGTCGGGGAGCTGGCAGGCACAGGCACAGTCACACAACGGGCAGCAGCGAGGGCAGCTAGGAGCCCAACCCTGAGGGAGAAGAGAAGGGTGGATGAAGCAGTACCCGGACTTGTCTGCTTTCCTAAAATTGCAGAAGGGAACAAAGGGGCTTAGGAGGCCCCACTGCCCAGTGGAACAGGGATAGCATTGGAGACAACGCAGTTCTCCATGCTGAGACCAGCAGTGACATCACACTCTAGCCCTCTGCGGTCAGGAGCCTCCAAGCTCCAGGACTCAGGGGCTCTGTCCTCTTTCCCACCACAGGGCTGAGAAGAGTGGACCAGGGAAGAAGAGGCTTTAAGTCTGGCTAGAATTTTGATGTCAGCGTCCAGCTCAGAGATAGTTATACTCTCAGAGGCCTGTGCAGCCAAGAGGAAGTCAGGACACAGGAAACATGTTTCTATCCTCATGAAGATAATTTCTGGGTTTGGGACGTCTTCGCTGGTATAAAACCAAATTGCAATATGTCTTTCTTCCTGCCTGCCAGCCTGCCTTCCTTCCTTCCTTTCTGAGATGGGCTCTCACTCTATAGCTCAGGCTAGTCTGGACTATGAAACCCAGGCTGGCCTCAAAATTACCACAGTCCTCTTACTTCAACCTACCAAGCACTGGGGGGTTCTGGTGTCCTTTGTGGGGTTTCTGCTGTCTTTTGAGACAGGACTTCCCTGTGTGACCTGGCTGTCACGGAACTCACTCACTTCCCAGTGCTGAAGCAGGCCGATTTCTGTGGGTTCAAGGCCAGCCTGGTCTACAAATGGAGTTTCAGGATAGCCAGGGCTACACAGAGCAGTGGCTCTAGACCTTCCTACTAGTGTGACCCTTTAACACAGTTCCTCATGTTGTGGTGACCCCCAACTTAAAAAAAAAAATTGTTGCCACTTTAGAACTGTAATTTTGCTACTGTGAATTACAATATAAATGTTTGTTCTCTGATGGTCTTAGGTAAAAGTTGACCCCCCACACACAAAGAGGTCACAACCCACAGGTTGAGAACCATTGACAGAGAGAGACCCTGTGTCAAAAAACAAAACAGAGCAAAACAAAAAAAGAAAAGAACCCTCTCTGAGCCAGGTGTCCTGACTTGAGGGAGATGAGGCAGAAGGATGAGCAGTTCAAGCCAGCCCGAGCTACATGAGATCTGTCTTTAAAGGACAAAACAAGACAAACAAACCACAACAGGAAAAACAGAACCAAACAAACCAACCCAAGAGGCTGGAGTGATAGCTCCCTGCTTAAGAGTGAGGGTTGCTCTTCCAGAGGACCTGAGTTCAGTTCCCAGCACTTACGAGTGGCTCGAAACCATGCTAACTCCAGATCCCAAATCCAGGGAATCTGACACCTTCTTCTCTGGAAGTTAGGACCTCAGAAACCAAGGCAAAGCGCTCCACTATCGAGCTACCCTGAATGGAGGCACACAGAGCTGAGGGGTGAGGTGGGGGGACAAGAGCAGCGTGATCTTCACAAAAACTGAAACGGAAGCTCAGAGTGATTTTCCCAAAAGAATACAAGCAGCCAGAGAAACTGGTTTGGTCTAGAGTTGGTTCTTCCAAGCCTGGGATTCCCCTGTGCCAACTCTGCCAAGGCCAGAAATGTCGGCTTCATGCTAAGGCTTCAAAGGCAAAGGACAGTTGGTCTCATGTTCTCTACTTAAGTGTGAGCACTCATGCCCAGCAGGTGTTTGAGACACAGCTAAATGCTGAATGTATGAATTAAGCTAAGCGTATCATTTTACCCTCTTGAGGCAAAGGCAGAAGGGGGCCTCTCAACCCCAGGAAAGATGTCTGTCTTACGGACATGATGTCCTGAGAGACAGGGCCATTCACCCCTCCAATCCACAGCTCCTTTAACCTGGGTCAGGGATGATCTGCAACTGCCCCAGGCTTGGATGGGCAGCAGGCCAAGGCACTGGGGTGGACACACCCAGGATGGCTGTGTGACAGAAGACTGGCTCCTTGAGGCCACGAGCAAAGCTAGTGACAACCAGTTGCACAGTTCAATCAGAGACTGGGCCAAGCCAGGAATAGGGAAATGACCTTTCCAACAGCTGAGGTTTCGGGGTACGGTGTCAGATGACCAGTGAGATCAGCTGTCAGTAGGGGCTCCAGCAAGGGGTAGGAGACCAGCCAGCTACAGGGAAAGGGGTCTAAACTGGGCTGAGTTACTGGGAAGGGAGAGAGAAGCAGTTTTCTTGTGATGAAGAGTGGTTTGGAGGCATCTCTGGAGATGAAGTGGGTCTGTGGGTTTCCAGAGGACCACACACCATCACTCTGTACAGACCCACTGGGCAGAACAATCCCCTGCCCTCACCTCAGAAAAGAGGGTATTAAAAGCATTTCTTGGCTCTGTTCACAGAAGGGCTTAGTCCAGCCATTAATAACTGGCTAATGGAGTTCTTGAGTCTCACAAGCACAGGTTTCTGGAAGAACTCTGCTGTTTAAGGACATTAAACAAGGACTCTGCAGCATGCTAACCCTGCCTTTCCATAGGCTCTTGGGTGGCGTTTATCTTTGGACTTTCTTACTGGCTAATTTGTGCTCAAGCCCTAGAGTCAGTAAGACCTATGTGTGAATTCTGCCTGGCTCAATCATGTTCCGAGCTTCAGTTTCCTCATCTCTGAAACAGATATAGCACCTACTTTTCAGAGTGTCAATGGACAGAAATGAAATCCTTAGTGAGTGCTCAGTGAAGGGAGTTGTCATCCGGGTTCTGGTTTCCCTCTGCACTGTGTTTTTCCCCATTCGGTATGTAGCCTGGCTGGCCTAGAACTCACTATGCAGACCCCACTGGCCTCAAACTCACATTTGCTTCTCCCTCCCAAGTGCTGGGATCAAAGGCATGTGCTACCGTGCCCAGATTTAGCAGTCATTTGTTTTTTGTTTTCTTTCCAGAGACAGGGTTTCTCTGTGTAGCCTTGGCTGTCCTGGACTCGCTTTGTAGATCAGGCTGGCCTCGAACTCACAGAAATCCGCCTGCCTCTATCTCCAGGAGTCCTGCATTACAGGCCCGCGCCATTGTGCCTGGCTTAGGAGTAGTTCTTAATTCTACTGTACATTGGAATTACAAGAGCTTGTTAAAAAGTACAGACACCCCAGACCCACTGTGCCGAGGCCGTGGAAACCTGACCTGTAAGGCTGCATGTCACGTCCTTCCTCTGCTCCTATAACTGTCTACTTATTTATCCCTGCCCTTCCCCACAGTCCTGGGAACACAGGCTCTCGTCTGGTTTATCTGTACTGAGCGCCCAGGGTTAGCACGGAGCCTCACACACTGGCTCCGTGTACACTGCACACACGAGAAAGGGAAGAACTAAAGGAACTCCACCCTAACAACGCAGTTCGGCAAGCAGGTCTCCCAAAGACAGGAAGAAAACCCTGGGTTTGTGGGCTGGCTGGCCCATCTATTTAACCCCAGGCGAGTGCATCACTCAAGCCTCTGTGAGCCTCAGTGTCTACACTGGCGAACAGACAAGCCCTGTGACCTTTGTGCTGTCATTGCTACTATAAGGAACCTAGAGAACAGAGGCCCTTCAGTGTTCTTTGAGGAAAGACAGATGAAGGGCAGGACAAGCTTGCCCGGCCCTCCGTGGTCATTCTACATCTCTTCCTAGATCCAGCAGAAACTGGATGGGATAAGATGCACAGGGTTCTGAAGCCCTGGACCAACAGGTGGGAGACCCTGTCTTCACACAGTCAGCCTCCCCCTTCCTTTTTCCTAAGAAGTTTGACCAAGATGTCGACATCGGGAAGGAAACAGAGTGTTCAGGACCATAACTCATTCTGTAACTCCTTAAGATAGGAGTTCTTAGAACCTAAAGCCCGCTTTTTCCCTAACTCCATCCTGGAAGCCCACCTCCTGGTCAGTGTGGGCAACCAGAAGCAGGTTATCCGAAGGGAGATAGCCCCTTACTCTCACACTATGAAGCCACAGCTGGCCCTGAATTTGCACTTGCCTCTGCCTCCTGAGGCTAGGATTAAAGGTATATACCACCATGACCCTACTTATTATAATTCTTTTTGAACATAGATTTAAATTTATTTTAAACTTTTTTCATATGTGTGGGTGTTTAGCTGCAAAACTGCAGAAGACATTAAAAGGGCTTCGGATTCCTGGATCTGGAGTTACAAATAGTTCTGAGCTGCCATGTGGTTGCTGGGAATCAAACCCGGGTCCTCTAGAAGAGCAGCCAGTGCTCTTAACCGCGGGGCCATCTTTCCAGCCCTTATACTTAGTTTGGAGATAGGGTAGCTAGCCCAGTCTGGCCTTGAATTTCCTATGTAGCTCTACCTTGAACTAAGGATGGATTTTTGTTTTTAGATTTTATTTTTCTTTCGTGTGTGTGAGCGTTCTGTTTGTGCACTACTTGCGCATTTGTTGCCTGTGGCCCAGAGGAAGGCACGCATACCCTGGTTTATGTGGTGCCAGGGTCAACCCAGTGCCTCCTGCATGCTAGACAGACATTCTACCCACTAAGCTACACTTCCAGCCCTCATCATCTGTTTTGAGACTCAGAACAGCTCAACCCAAGTCATGAATTTACTGCGGCTTAGTCTACTGACCCTCCCTGCGAGGGAAGGTCACCGCACCAAGGAGAAGAGAAGAGAACGCTGCTGTCTGATTCTCTGCGCTCAGAATAATCACTGTCTAAGAAGGTGGTCAATCACACCGAACATTTTTAAACCCACAAATGTAAAACTTGTCTTGTGTGGGTCAGCTTCTCCCCCGGCAATCCAGGTGCAGCGTAAATCGTGGAGCAATTTGCTAGCCGAGGCTTTGGTGTGCGGCTCTGGGGAAGCCACAGCCATCCCTCAGCCATCTTAGTCCTCTGCTAGAGGAGCGGAATGATACCTATAGCTCCACGTTCAGGCATAGGCACGTGGCCAGAGTGCAGTATGAAGTTGAAGCGGCTGTGAAGAAGCAGTCTATGTGACAGGCTCCATCTTTGCCAGTGGGGTAGCAATGCATGGCGGTCACACGGAAATAAAACAACTTTACAGAGCCCGCTCTAGAAAAAGACCGTTCCTTCCTCATGTCTCCCTTCACCCCTCCTTCCCCTGGCTTCTTATGATGCTGGCCAAATGCTCTCTCACTTTGCCTTTCTACATGGATAATTGAGAAACAATACTTTTTGTAATAGGAACATAGTTTTCTATTACAAAACCCACATGGAATCCCAGCACTAGTGAGGCAGAGGCAGAGGCAGGAGGATCTCTGTGAGTTTGAGGCCAGCCTTGTTTACACACAAAGTTCCAGGCCAGCTAGGGATACATAGTAAGACCCTGTCTCAAAAAAAGCAAAGCAAAGCAAATCAAAAACAACCAAATCAACAGAACAACAACCACGTCAGCAAAAATCCAGCTTGCTTCATAATTAGTATAATTTAATTTAAAAAATAAAATTAAGCTTTCACCATCTTGGCACCTGTGGATGCCTGCTGGGAACAGGACATCTAAAAGGCAAATATGTCTGGAAAGCTATGGTCCCAGGCCCTTCTTGCTGGCTAGAAGCGAGTCACCAGAACCGAAAAGAACACATGGCCCTTCTTAGGACTAAAAGTGGTTATGGCTGAGATGAAATTTAATTCTACTTGGGCACGAGATGTGCTTATGTGTATAAAGAGAAATAACACAGTGACCCCTGGTGACAGACTGAGCACAGACAGAGGGATCTGGAGAAAGGTAGCTCAGAGCCACGGAAACAGCGGCTGGCTTCATGCCAAAGTCTGAAGAGAGTTTCTTGCAGAGGCCATTGGACACAGATTCCTCTCACAACTTTATGTTCTTGGGGCAGGGTTTCTCTGTGTAACCCTGGCTGTCCTAGAACTCACTCTGTAGACCAGGCTGGCCTCGAACTCAGAGATCTGCCTGCCTCTGCCTGGGGCTGAAAACGTGTGCTACCAACACCTGGCTTTCCTCTCACAAATTTAAACTAACAAAAATAAATAAATAAACGTGAAAAAATTACAATTAAGTCATGTATGTTATGGTGCACACCTGTAAGCTGGACACGAGAGACAGAAACAAGAGGGTCAAGGCCAGCCCAGTATATAAGAACCCGTCTCCAAAAAAAATAAAAATAAATAAGTAAGTAAATAAATAGGTCCTGATTATGCACTGGGCTTGTCACACAGATCATCTTTCTCCAGCTGTCATCCTATATTTTCCTTTCTTTCAAGAACCATTCATCACCAGAAACAATCTGATATGTTGTTTTTAGCTGTCTGCCTATGACTCAGTCCCTGGAACAGTGCCTGCCCTAGGGTTAGTGCTCCCTAATAAATGTGCTGAACAAAGAAAATGAAGGCCCAGGTCATGCGCAGGTCAGAGGGAGCAGGGTGGGTTAAGAGGGGAACTCACAGCTTCGCTGGGGTGAGGGCAGCAGGCATCCAGGTAGTGGGCTGGACTGGGCAGAGGGAAGTCGCAGGCTTCTGCACAGCTCCAGCAACAGTCTTGGGTCTCCGAGGCACCTTGTTTCCTGCAAGGGGAGCTGCAGTCTGTGCAGCAGCCCTGGGCCTAGGAGATGACAAGGCTCAGGATCTGGGCCAGGCGGTGGGGGAGGCACAGACAACTCTCCACTTTTACTTTCCGGGCAGGGGCAAGGCAAGGATTAAGTGGTGACAGGGAGGCAGACCCCTCCCCACCCCGTCCCACAAAAAGGGCAGCGCTCTGACTAAATGGCAACAGGGGACATGCTGATCACCAGGTTGCTCTTCCCCAGAGCCTACCCTTCCTTCCCCGCCAGGCTCCTCACCAGCAAGCAGTGCCTTGTCAGCAGCACCAGGCCCAGCAGCAACAAATAGACACCCACTGCGATGAAGACGATGGCCGGGATCGGGAGCCGCAAGGAAGGGCTGCTGATGGAAGCTGGGGCTGGATCCCACGGGCCAGAGGAGGTCTGAACAAGCACAGAGGAAGAGGTGAAAAGGGAAGACCTGCACAGGGATGCCAGGTGGGCCACAGAAGGAGGTGAGGACTCAACAGAGCAACACCCTGACTCACCAGCTTGTCCCCGGCCATGCCCAGTTATTGTCAAGTACCTGCTATCAATTTAGAGTCATCTGCAAAATACTGCCCTTTGTGGAAATACTTCCCTACTTAAGATTTCTGTATCTTGTCTCCAGGATGACAGCCTTCCCAGCACTCAGCTCTGGCCCCACTTCCAACTTGCTTCTTTCCACGCCAGCTTCCCTGGTATCTCCACCCATGGCTCCAGACAACTGCTTATTTCAGGGACAAAGCTTCCCCACCCAAGGCCTCCTCTCCCTCCACCCTGCAATCGCGATGAGGTCTTTGTTCCCAGAGGCTCCATCCTCTCTCTGGCCCCTAGGCCTCTGCCTGTCCTGCGCGCTTAGTAAACTATCTTGCCACCGTGGGAAGTGCGTCCCGGGCACAGTCTCAGCTCTTGTCCGGAGCCAGAAGACTTTTTGTTGGCTAGAAAGCTCCCTCCCCGGTCCGAGCTCAAAGGCAGATGAGCGGAGCCCTGGACTCACGTCCATGGGGCAGGGCAACCAGTCCGTTCAGGAGCTGCAGAAGAGAGAAGATTCCGGGCTCAAAGATCGAGTACCCTTGGGCCGGGGCGCCCAATCTCCTCTCTTTCTGTCTGGGAAACCTGAGGCCCACGGACGGAGACTGAACTGGCGGGGGTCTGGGGATCCAGAGCCTTTCCCTCCGGCCTGGCCGCGCCCTCCACGGTCCCCAGGTTCCGGCGCCCTCGGGCCACGAGGCCACAACCACGGGGCCACCGACAGTTTTACAGATTCCGCGCCGCCTCGGGTCCGAACCGCCAAGGCGCCAGCACCGCCCAGAAGCTTGGCGCTGCTTCTTGCCGTTGCCATGGGGACCACAGTGCTGTGACTACGGCGGCCGCAGAGACCCAAACTCTCTATTCCCGCCTCACTGAACGGGCCCTGCCTTCTTCTACCACTCACCTGAGGTAATCGCCATCATCCCGGCTTTCCCTCCGGAGCTAGAGAGAAACAGCAAGTTCTCACCACTGGTAGCTCAGGACAGAGCCTCGTCGGATGCTGGGACCACTCGCTCTTCTACGAAGAAGGACATATACTGTGTTTCCAAACTTTACTTTCTGGAGAGGAGTCAGAGACGGATTAATTGGAGACAAGGACGAAGACGTCCCTGCTCTGACTGAGTGGCAGAGGCGTCCCGAGATAAGAGCCTGGAAGTGAGGGGACAGTAATCAGCAAGTTCATCTTCCACAAAGCCTATCCTTCCTTCCCAGACAGGCTCCTTGTTAACTGTATGGAAAAGTCAGTATTTTTCAGCCCGGCTCACTTCACCAGCCTTAATCTTTCCCCGCCTCGAACTCAGAGATCTGCCTTCCTCTGCCTCCCGAGTGCTGGGATTGAAGGTAAGGGCCACCACTGCCAGGACCCAAGGAAGCTACAAAATTGTCAGGGTCTATTCCTCTACTGTGTAACAGTTTCCTCTGAGACTGAAGCATTATTGTCAAAGTGATTTCCTATCAACCGGGTCGTATCTATTCCCCCCCTCGTTCGTCTGTGCTTTGTCTACCAAGATGGGGTCTCCTTCTGTAACCCAGGCTGGCCTGAAATTCATACTATGTAACTTAGTTTGGTCTGGACATAACCCTCCTGAGTGCTAGGTTTAAAGGTGTGAATGGCCAGCTCATGCTCACACCTGACCCTACTCCTTTTCTGCTTGGAAACACCAAGAACCACTGACTGGCTGCAGGGTGAAACTCGCAACTTGAGCAAACCCAACGCCATCCACTCTGAGCATCCTCCGGCTTCCCCCCCAGAGCTCCAAGAACAAAGCAAATTTCCTTCCCTTCTGCTGACATTCTATGGAAGGCAGGATGAGCATATATATATATATGCTTGTGCCTGATCAGTGCCGCACATAAGATCTGTTGCGGGGATTCCGAGCCCAGGCACAGCCTCAGCTCTGCAGCCTTGGCGATGCTGAGCCTCTGCCTAGAACACCCTTCCCTCTCTTTCTCTTGATGAACTCCTTCCTCATCCCTCAGGCCTGTGCTTGGCTTCCAGGCCCTTGCTGGAAACTTCAGGTGGAAGATGCTGAGTTGGCCTGTCTACTCTGGACCCTCTACTCAGTACCCTCATCGCAGGGTACTGAACTTCTTCCCTGGGTCAGACTGCTAGCACTGGGCTGCTTCTGATTCCTGGCCACGGCCCAAGCTCTAGCACTTGGGACCTTCCAGAAAACAACACTCACTGATTTGATGAACCACTCAAATCCAAGTCTGATTCTACTGGCCGGCAAGGTGTTATATGGCGCTCTGTGCCCCTGACTTCCAATGTACCCAGCTCCCTAAGTCACTGTTCTGGTTACACACTCAGAGACACAACTCCTGTGGAGGCCTGGGACACAGTATCACCACACACCTGCCTCCCTTCCCTTTCCTGATTTACTGCCCCCAGCTGTCCCCCCCCCCGCTTCCTTTTTATTTTTCATTTATTTTTTATTTTATTCTATTTTTTGGTTATTGTTGTTTTTGGTTTTTTTGGGGGGGTTGTTTTTTTTTTTTTTTTTTTTTTTGAGACAGGGTTTCTCTGTGTAGCCTTGGCTGTCTTGGACTTGCTTTGTAGACCAGGCTGGCCTCGAACTCACAGAGATCTGCCTTCCTCTGCCTCCCCAGTGCTGGGATTGAAGGTATGGGCCACCACTGCCAGGACCCACGGACTTTCTTATATTACAAGAAAGCTACAAAATTGTCAGGGTCTATTCCTCTACTGTGTAACAGTTTCCTCTGAGACTGAAGCATTGGGTCCTCCACAGAAGCTCTTTAAACAGAAAGGTAAACAATTCAAAACAGTTTCAGGAAGTCCCTGAATCTGAGAAGATTCACTAGTTCCTGCCCTCCCAGAGTAAGCAATAAAAGCTGAGAGGCCCTCTCAGAGAAGCTGTAAAGAAGACTCCTGGGACCAGTAGATTTAGACCAACTGGAGTTGGAAGGGACACTCCCCTGCTGGCTGTGCAGCCGGTTCCAGCTTCCCAGCTTTGTGAGCTGTCACCTATCCTGGGGTAGGCTTTGGTGATGTAGTTGTCTTTGAGTCAGTTTGTTAAGAACAATCAAAACTTACTCTTAAGTACTACCGCTTCATTTTCAGACTCTATTTATATCATAGGGAGAAAACTAAGTTCAAGGTCACAGGCCCTAAGGGAGCGAGGCATTTCCTAATAGCTGAACAGCTTCTGTTGTAAGGAAACAGTTGTTTGAGTCCAGACATCTCAGGAACAACTTGTAAGGAGACAGTTGTCTGAGTCCAGACATTTCAAGGGCAACTTCTCCATCTTTTTGGCAGAGTCAAACTAAGTTTATGTTCCCAGGCCCAGGAATCTACTCCTATCCTGATTGATGGAAACTCCCTGTTCGACCCCTTATGTCAAAATATCATCAGGCAATGCTACAGCCCATCCTGCTCCCCCTTGCTTTATGGTTTCATCCTTTAAATATGCTGTACAATGTCCCTCTAGCATTGCAGTTCAGCTCCCAAGTCTATTCTAAGGACCTGGTCGATCAATAGCAGCTTGATTACAATAAATTTTTGTCATCTGCGTTGACCTGATGTTTGCATTATATTGGATTTAAGTGGACCCCACAACAATTTCTGCTTTTGTAAGTAATTCCCCCACCCATATTTCTGTAAATAACCCCAATGAAAATCATTGGTTCACCAAGCTGGACTTTGATGATGTCTGTACTTTGGTCTTTCTTGGGCTCCTTATCTGAGGTGAGTAGATATGTGTGTTTTCCTAGGAAAAGTTTTGTCACACAATAGCCCCTAGGTCCTGAATCCCCCTTCAGCCTTCAGTCGTAATGACAGGATCCCAGCCATTCCTTATGCCACCTCTAGCCCTCTCAGGGATGACTTTGAGCACAGAGGACAAGTGCTCAGCTATCCCTGATGTCAGCATTGTCGATCTGAAGTTGTATCAGATTGCCTCCTTGAGATCTTTTTTTTTTTTTTTTTTTTTTTTCTGAGTCTCAAGGACCGGGATGAGGCCAGTTTTCATCTCTGCTGTAGGAGAGACCTCTAATGCTCCAGAGCTTCCTCCCTGCCTGTCTTCAGCCCGTTCCAACGGAGAGATGTGAGCCTTGGCAAGGGCCCCAGGCACACCAAAGCTCTGCAGTGGTCAGACTCACTGCTGAGGCTGCTCTGCTCCCACCATTGGCTCCTCCGGTGTGTGGGAGGGTAGACAGTGCACCAGACAAGCCAATTGGAGGGATGATATATGGGCCTCGAAGTGAGGCCCCACTTCTACCCACATTCTGCCATCAGCAGGAGGTAGGGAAACACTGACTTTACGTTAGCCAGTAGCTGCCATGGCTCCTTCTATCCGAAGTGCAAAGCTGGGCATGTCAGATAGCATCACAGATACTGTGGAACTGACCCAGAAAAGCAAGAAAAGGATACCATGTTCCCCATCATCATGGGCTAGATGAAAGATGGGAAATATAGAAGGACCAGCAGCTGAAAAAAAAAGCTTCTGCAGTCTTGGATGGGACTCTGAGAAGGGAGTCAAGCAAGTATGACTTTGATCTAATAATTTCAAGCCCTCTATTGGCTTTCAAACAATATTGTCTTCTAGATAAGGAGAAAGGCTCTTAGGCGGGCAAGATGGCTCAGCAGGCCCATACTCGAATGTCTGATGAACTGAATTCAACCCTAGATACCTACGTAAAGATGGAAGGAAAGAACTGACTCCCCTGATCACCACATACAATTCTGTAGCATGGGCGGATCTACACACAGCCGCACACACGCACAGAGACACACACACACAGAGGTGGGAGGGGAGAGAGAAAGAAGTTTCCCAGCATCCCTAATTTGAAAGACCTTTGTCTAGGACCCTACCGTGGAGGATTGAAGAAGATGCACTTGGGCCAGGCCAAGTTAGCTGGCTTTCATACCTGTGGTCCCAGCACATGGGAGGATAAGACAGCAAGATCCTTAGTTTGAGAATACTCTGGGCTACACAGTCAAGTTCTGTCTCATAAGCTGCGGGCAGGGTGTCTCCATGGTAGAGTATTTTCAAGGCATTCACAAGCCTCTTGGCTTTAATCCCGAGTCCCCTAGAAAACAAGTAATCGGTCAGCCAGTGATGGCTACCACAGTGAGATCTCACGTGGGAACTGTGCTTCATTGCCTACCTTTTAAAATCATTCCCAGAAGCCCTCGGTAGAGTTCCTGCTGGTGTCCCTATTTGTAATTAAGCATTCCAAGGCTCTGGGGAGTTGAGTCACACAGTACTCCTGGCAAGAGAGCGGCAACACCAGGATTCAGACCCAGGCGATGGGACAGAGGCTCAGGTTCCGAAACTTAGCCAAGATCACACCGAAAAACCATGGAAGAACAGATTAGTAAATCCATGGTTGTCTGTTTCCGTCACCCTTTGTGCACCTCAGCCTTTTGTGGTGTGAGGAGAACCAGACTTGCTTGGAGCTGAACTGAGTCAGGACAGGTACAAACAAAAGAACTAAATAATGAATGCCCTGGCACCAGGCCAGAGTGTCAGGTGAGAAACAGACACTACAGGGTGCTCAGCGGTTGCTTATTCACAGCCTCTGGGACACCACAGCCTCGCGCTCTCCTAAGGATGAGCCTGGAAGCCTTTGGACAAGGGAGCCCAAAGCAACAGGAAATGGTAAACCCCAGGCCCAGAGGAACCTGCCCACAGGTCTGCTTGCTAGGGTGGTAGAGCCCTGGGGTGGGGTGGGGAGTGAGAGACTTCCCCCGTGAGCCAGGCTGAGGGAGGGACCTTCCTGAAGCCACCTGAGGCCGAGGTCTGCACACGCTGCCTCCTGGTTCCAGCCCCAGGCTGGTGGCTGCTCTGTCCCTTACACATCCTTTTACAAGCCTGCGTGGCCAAAGACCTCTGGAACGCTTGCGCTGCCACAGTGGGTGGAGGTACCCCATCTTGGGTTTATTTTAGGTGGCATGCCAGTTCCGCAAGAGCGCACACACACACACACACACACACACACACACACCTGTTCAAATACACCATTTTCCTTCCACTTCCCCTTCTATGCTTTTGCTTATTCCGCCCCCTTCTTAAAAAAACGTTTACTGGTACTGTGGGTGTGGTTTACGTGTGTGAGTGCAGGTGCCATGTG